CCTACTCCGTTTTTTTATTTTTCTTCTCTCTCTCTCTCTCTCTCTCTCTCTTGAAATTTAATAAAATAAAATAAACAAATGATTAACAAAGTAATTAATTATTAACGGTACACGAACCGTTATTAATTAATCTTGTGTGCATGTAAAATGTTTTAAAAATTAACAAAACGGATGTTGATATGAATAAAATGTTGAAAATTAAGTAAAATTGAACAAAAGAAGAAAAAAAAGGATGTTGAATGAATCTTTGTCGAAGGATGAAGATGTGTGCAAAGAAAAGAAGAAGAGAATCGAAATGGGGAGATGGTTTTAATTTTAATGGAACGTAATTGCTGTGTTAAATGTATAACTATTGACTGCATATGCAATATGCAGTTTTATTCGACATACTTACGTATGTATGTATACCGAGCGCGGCACGCGTAACATTCGCTTCGATTCTTCTCAGTATGCAGTATATCACTAATACATGCATGCACAATAATGTGTATACGTTTCTTATGACTAGACAAGTCATAAGCGTGACTACTCTCGTTCGCTCTCGATCGCGAACGAATTTTAAACGAACTTTACGTTATAAAAAATTTAAGAGAGAGAGAGAAAAAAAAAAATAATATATATATATATATAATAAAACCACGCTCGAAAAGTGTAAATGTCGAAAGGGGAGGATGATTGAAACGTTGATCGTATTTATAATACAATAAAAATTATATTAAAAACAAAAAAAAAAAAAAAAAAAGAAAGAAATAGATCGAAAGATGGTGTATGAACCGGTGTCTGAAGAACAGAAGAAACAATTTTTTAGACAGTGTTATGCCGCTCATTTACCTGGGTAAGATTTGATAGGTAGATAGACACGTACTCGCGAGAATATTACCGATGTTTAAACGGATATATCGAATTACACGTTGTAATTTAATCGTTTTTCTTTTTTTTTTTTTTTTCCATCTCGTTCGCGAACCGAGATAGGTTCGAATTTCTTCGTGCGGCAAACACTTGCATTGGTATTGAACAGTATTAATTGAATTTGCAACGTTGATTGTTAACGCTAAATATTTTCTAGTAGCACCGTTATTTTTGATTGCGTAACGTAAGCGAATACAATACGTGCACACGGGCTAGCACGGGCTTTTAAGGTCTAGAGAGATTGATTTTTGAAGTACCATGTTGGAACGGTTTTTCAATTGTTGTTAATAATCGGATGCGTAGATAAGAGGAACGGATGTCGGGAAAGAAATCGAATGTGAGTTTAGTTTTGTTTGGAATAGTCGAATCGAATACACGGTAGGTATATCGAGCAATAGTTTTTAACATGTAAAAACCTTGAACGCATCGTGTATATATATATATATGTGATTAATAATTAACAATAAGTACATTTACACCGTGTATCGATTTTAACGATAATTTTTATATGTAAAACCACGATATATAATATTGGATAATAACAAAAAGATATTGCGAAATATTTTGATATTAATGTCATAAAAATTTGATGGTCGATTCAAACGAATAAATCAAATCGATATGGATAAGTAAAATTCTCTCGTATTTGATCGATGGAATTAAATATTTAATGTGTAATGAAACATGATCAATAGATCTGCGCGCGAAACTATTTTTTAAGCAAGTTGAGTCAAGTTATTGTTAACTGTAATAAACTTTCATTTTGCATTTCTTCTTTCTATTGCACTGTTTTATTTATCCATATATTTCCGATTAATTTCCACACTTTTATATGTCTATCGATTCAAGAAAAACTTTCATTCAGAAATTTAAAGCGAATAAAAATTAATTCAATTTATTATTCATGTTATACATACATTATGTATTCATATTTATTTTCATTATATATTTATTATATTTGTAAGTTGTTAAATGAAAGAAGTCATTAAAAAAATAATATATCATTAAGAAAAAAATGATTGCTAATTATCTGACCTAAAAATATTAATGCATTTTAAAAAGAAGAGAATTAATTAAAAAATTTAAATATAATCTAAACTATTTTGTTTATGCTTTTTGTAATGTTTCTTCGAATAAAATTTTATTCGGAATCTGTTTTCAATGGAACAAATACGCATGCGCGCTAATAATGAATAAGCGCGAAAAGTTAAACGATGCGGTTGTTATTATTTTTTCACTGAATAATATTTTTATTTACTAGTTGATCGATATCGTTTTTTCCCATAATTTTATTACAATTATTTTGTCTACAATTTCGGATCAATGGAAATCACGCGCGATTATTGTTTCATTTTCATAAATCTATTTTATTTTTTCAGCTATACAGGACACTGTCCCACTCTTAGATTTCGAGTTGGAAAACGATTTGGAGCATGCACTCAAGAAATTATGAAGGTAAGAGTATGCAAATATTAACGATCCGATTTCGCATTGAGAAAAGAAAAAAAGAAATCAAGAAAAAAATACAAAAATAATGGTGGAAATTATTCACTTGTAAAATTAATCAAAATTTCCATGAGCATATTGCATCATACAGGAATTACTTGAAAAGAAAATTCTCAAGACAGGACCTTACAGACCCAATTGTGAAAAAGATATGCGCGAAAATACGACGATTCTTTGTGAAAAAGATACAAACACGGATTGGAAAAATGAGAGGCATCTCTTAAAACCTCCCCCTCCATACATCTTAGGATATACTGGTAAATAAATAGATAAATAGATTTGATCTTAATTGAGTTAAAATTAATACTGAAATTAAGAAATCGCATAATTTATATATATGTTGAAAGTGAATTAATTAAAATATTTAATCATTTCACTGTAGGATATATTCCTGGTTTTAACACTAGGTATGGTTTATCTTTTATGCGAGCAGTGGAAGAAGGTACTAGAGAATGGCGTGAAAATCAAATTAAATTGAAAGCTCGTAGAGATCTTACACAAACTACAGAGAGAAACGCTACCTCTAGAAATCTTTTATTACAAACCCAAACTGATATAAATGTTCTAACTGATCGCGATAATGATAAAAATCGACTAACTACATTTCGTATGTATAATATTATATGATCATATTTTTACAATTTTCAATAAACTTAATAAATAATAAAGAATTAAACAAATAAAGAGTTTAATTAAATTTAATTAAATGTTAAGAAAAATCATAGACAAATTCATTAGTTCGTATTATAATTATCTAAAAATATAAACAATATTGTTTACAGATTATGAAATTTCTCCCGAAAGACCACCAATCGTAGGTTATACTGGCCATATTCCGGGTGTCAGGGGAGAAGTTGCGCTTTCGAAAAGATACGCACAAGCTGCCAAAAAAGGATTGGAATTAGTACGAAAGGAACGTGAACAAAGACTTGGTAAATTAACGGATGCTAATAGTGTAGAAAAAGTTTTCAATGTGGCTCGTTTAAACTGACCTAACAAGAGATCGGATTCTGATCTCCACAATTTCTCGAATTTCAAGTTTTCCATAACAGAATAATATTTAATATGTTTCGAATTTCAATTTTTCCTTAATAGAATAATATTTAATATGTCCATAAATTAACAATCTTTTTTAGATAATCTTTTTTAATTCGATAATCTCTATTTGACTAGAATTATTCCATTAGATATAATTTATATTTCTAATTTCAATTTTTAATCAATTTCACGCTGCCGATAAGGGATAAATATCCAAATAAAATTATCAACAGCTTTTACCTTGGCTTCTTTTCTTTTCTTTCTTATAGTAAAGAATAAATCATATATATTGATCTTTCATAATATTCTTATTAACATTTACATAAAATAAGTGACTTTTATAATCTTTTCTTGGTAATTATCATATATATTCGATGTTTAATATCAAAACAAAGACAAATCGACATTTTAGCAATATAAATAATCAATCGAGAAATTCTTGAAAATATTTCGAAATTGACAATATTTTTTAAGAATCAACTATGAAAATAAAAATAATGCTATTTCCATTTTCCAGAAAAGAAAATATTACCTTAAATATACATAGTATATGACGAATAAAGTAAAATGGAATTTAGCAAAGATGTAAATTAATAATATAGATATATATAAATATTACTTTTTAGTATACATTTTGATATAATTTTTTAGATATTTATTAGCATATATAATTTGTATAATTCATGATAATACATGGTTTATAATTAATGATGATAAATTATTAGGCTAAAATTTTTAGTAAAAAATTTTTTATTAAGATATATAAAAAAATAATCTAGGATTATACATAATTTTTTAATTTTCAATTAAATTAAACTTATTTTTTTTCTGGTAATCTATTTAACCTTTCTATTTCCATTTGGACTGCTTTTTTCCAATACTCTATAGTTAAGGTATTTGATCCATATGACAAAGATAATAATCTAGACAATACCATTAATGAGTGTAAATTATCAACATTTTTGTTTATTTGTTTCCATTGTACGAAATCATTTTGAATTTCCTAACGAAAAACAAAGATGCATATCAAATATATATTTATTATGTATATATAACGAAATATTTTAACAAAATATGGATAATTTCTAAAAGTTGAAACAATATTAATTACCTTTATAACATCTTCATCATTTAATTCGAATTTCGTATCCCGTATTGCTTCTAAATACTGTCGAATATTTATCAATCGATTTTCATCTTTTAAATATTGCTCCGCAATTTCTTTTATTTGAGAATATAAATTTTCCGATTCTGAATCTATTTTTAGAATTATTTGAGTTTGACACTAAAATGGACATATATTATTCGTAATTTAATCTAATTCATTCATAAATACTATTATATATATATTTTTTTTTATACCGGAATAAAAGATTTAGCTTCTGATAAAATTAATACAGGAATATCAGTTTCATATTCTATTTTATAAAATTTAAAATCATATGTCACTTTTTGAAAATTAATCAAATCGCAAATCGCATTGTAATTTTCTCTTCCAGCTTGTGTTATTTGACCTGTAGTTAATCCTGTTTCGTCTATTATAAGATGTGTATTGTCGCTCAGTTGGAGAACTCCACTAGTTAGTCTATTACATTCATAATCTTTTCTAATAATAAAAAAAATATATCGTAAACTAGATAATATTAATTTTTATATGAAAAAAATTGTATTTAAATTAATATTTGCTTACTTTGGTATTAAATTCAAATCATTTAAATTCTCCAAAGTAATTTCCAATAAATGACTCTTTTTAATAAGTAAATTTAAAAATTTGTATAAATCTTTTGGAAATTCTTTATATTTAATCACAGGAAAATGTGTTATATTTAAGGGATAACTACCAAGACAAAAGTAATCTCTTCTCATATAGCTAAAATAAAATAATGCTTTTAAAAATGTGTTAATCAGATTTCTATTGTGAAATAATAAAAAAAAGTAATAAATTAAATATATTTACACTGAGGAAAGTAAATGACAGATTAAATAATCTGCAGCTAAATGATCTCCAAATAGAAGTTCACTTAATATTAAATGAAGATCGTTTCTTATTAATTCTGCTTTAGACATTACTTCTGGGACAATGTCTTGTTTAATTGATTGGATTATTTTTATAGCATGTAATCGCGGAACAAGAGATGCAGGTGGATGATGAACAGTTATTTCAGCTTCTGTCATAGTCTCATCTGAATGAACAATATTATTTAGAAAAGGATCCAAAGATATGAAACCTATTATTTCAATAATTTGATTCAGCTTTAAAGTCATATCTTCATATATCTGTAATTTAATATAGAAAAATATAAATTATGTGACAGCAAATTTCATATATGATTTATATCACATAAAAATTGTTAATATTATATGAACTATAAATATTAAAAATTCATTAATAACCTTTACAATACAAGCTTTACCATCATTTATAGGAATAGGAAAATTTAATATATATTCTTCTGAAACTAAATATTGCCTTGTATCATATTCTATTTTCTTATTATCATCAATTTTTTCTTTCTTTCGTACTGACTCTGAACAGTCCATAGATTCATCATTATCTTCATCTAAATTTCTTTTATATCTATTAGTTAATTTTGAATAATGTAATTGTTTATATGTTTCCTTTACCCAATCATTTAAACCTGGAATTGATATTACAATACATGTGTGTCTTTCTGAATTTTGATTCTTTTCCGATTCCAACAAAATTGTTTCATGTGGCTAAGAAACATATACAACAAAATTATTAAATTTCAAATAAAAAGATATTAAAAATATATTTGTATTATATAATTCTTAAATATTCATATAAAATAATAATGTAGGCAGTTGTATACATGAAATAAGCTGTTCTTTTCACATTTCACACCTGAATCTACCATATATTTACTATAAGCCTCATGATATACATCCATATGATTTTAATATGGACAAAAATATATTTGAAGGCTTTATGAAATAAAATTTTAATTAAACAATTACCAAACATTTTGCTGTATCTATATACATCCCAGATTTGAGCTCAAGTGTTTCAGTTTGGTTATTCTTCACTTCATATTGTTGTAAATAATATTCAGGATCATGCATATCTTGAATCATTCCTTTAAATCTGACTAATTGTTTATCTCTGAATTCATGAAGGGGAGCATTATTTAGTAACGGAATTTCATTTAAAGTATCTAAATTTTCCAAGATCACATTACAATTCGATCGATTTGCAATAAAGTAATCAGGTGTCCAATCCGTTATTTTACGTGAAGCTAAAATAAAATATTAACACTTAATATACTCTTAATATTTATTTTTTGATTAATTTTATTTAATAGTGACTTAATGATAGCTTAAAAATACTTTAAAAAAGCATACTTACAAATCATTATAAAGTTATAACACAAATACCAAATCTTTGCTGAAATCAATTATAAAGTACTCGAAATAACCTCGAAAAATCTTATTAAATAAGAAAACGTATCAAAAAAATAAAAAATCGCAAAAATATAAACATCCACTAAATACAATTAAACATTTTCGATTTTATATTTGAATTTATATTCAGAAACAAAATATTTAAATAAAAGATTTATACATAAAATATTCTTTTAGATATCTATGTACAGAACTATAACTAACTAATAGCGCTTTTTCTTTAAAAAAAAAACTTATGTGTAAATTTAACAGATATTAAAATTATCTTCTGATCATATAAATTTTATACAAATATAGACAAGAAGAACAAGTAGCAAAAGAAAGATAGAGACATATTAAAAATTTTGGAATCAGCGCCATCTTCAAAGTGTCGCAAATGAAACATAAATATAAACAGGAACAACAAATAATAAGAAAAGGATATAGATAGAATAAGAATTGATCATCAGCGCCATTTCTTAAAGGTAAAAAAGAAAAAAATCTAAAAAACATCTTTCCAAAAACATTCAAAAGATGATCCATCTTAATCAAAGAATAAATGTTATCTGATCTTTAAAGAATTATTTTTAACATTCGGAAGGTATTATTGTTAGTTAATTCTTATCCTATTTTATTCTTCTTTTATTGTTTACTCTTTTTGTCTATACTTATATTCTGTTTACGATATTTCGGAGATGACGCTGATTTCAAAATTTTTTAATAATCTTTACTCTTTTTTCATTATTATCTTCCTATATTTATTCTTGGTGCATGATTATAAATGGGATACAAGATGTCAATTAAATGCATTTTCTTTTTATAATATATTATAATTTTTAATAAAATTTAGTAAAAAATACAAGTATATTTTTTAATTTTAGAATACATATCCAAAACAGTGACTTTGCAAAATATAATTAATATTAATATTAATATAATTACCAAATAATTGCAATTAATAAAATTAATTTATAATTGATAGCAATTAATTATTAATTGATTAGTAGTAGTAGTAGTAGTAGTAGATTAGTAGTATTAGTAGATTAGTAGTATTAGTAGTTATACAAAAAAGATTAATAATTTTCTTAAGATTTCTGATTAATCGCAAAGTCACCGTGTGTCAACTCTCAATCAAAAGATAATTCGCTAATTTTTCTTCTTTAATATTTTTGTATATTGACTGTTAGAATTTCGAGCTATCTGATATGCCGTCTTTCCAGCATAGTTTTTTAAATTTAAACAAGTATTGTTTTTTTTAAGAAGAAGCATAATTATCGATTCATATCCTCGTTCTACAGCTAGATGAAGGGCAGTATTTCCTGTCAAACCGTCCTTGGCTTCAATATTCGCACCATAATCTATCAGAAGTCGTACAAACTTTATATGATTCGATGAAACGGCAATGTGCAAGCACATTTGTCCTGTATCATAATATAATAATTAATATTTATAATAATATATATAATTCATTTAATATTTTAAATGAATGTTTTATTTGAAGCAATGTTTAACAAAAAAAAAAAAATATTGAAGAATAATAAAACAAAAAGTTGATCAATTACCATCGTAATTCCGTAATTCAAGATTTTGAGGTAAGGTAGGCACTTTTGTTCCAGGGCGAAGACAATGATATTCCATAGGATTTAAAGGAGTAGTGAGGGCAATTACGGAATCAAAATCGCCGATCGAACATGACAAATGAAGCGGTGTGTTTCCACGAAAGTTCGTCACTTCTAGATTTGCACCTGCCAGAATTAATTCTCTAATAATCCTCGGTTGCTTTGTCAATACGGCCAAGTGTAGTGGTGATTGACCATCATTGTTCAACATATTTAAAAGCTCGGATCTTGTCGTTTTTATCATGGCACACGCAGATTCTACAAAACCTTTCATTATGGCCCAATGAAGTAGCCTGAATGAAAAAAAAAAAAGATGAAATATTAATGATAAATATATTTTTTTTTTTCATTTATAATATTGATAATTGAAATATCGATTACATATAATGATATAGAATATTTTTATTATTAATTGATAAAAAAATGATACCATCGTATGTGATTTCTCATGTGATTATAAAAAATATATAATTAAATCTTAATTTATTTATTTTATTATTTATTTTGTTTAACTCTATTAACTTTTTCGATTTTTTCTTAGCATCAATCAATATCGTAGAATTTAATCTGTCCCATTTAAATTTTCATTATCCACAATAACAATTGATTAATGAAACATGATATATCAAAATAGTTTATATATTAAAAAGATATAATTTTTGAAGTAACTGATTTCTAAATTTAAAATTAATACAGACTCTATTCTATTCGTGAAATATTTCTATAAGTCAAAAAAATAATTCCAAGTCCGTTTTTGATAATTCTTCAATTATAAATTATTGTGTTACTACATTGAATACTTACGGATCACCTTTAAAAGTTTGTATACAATTGCCCAGCGATAGTTCATTCGACATAAGTTGCTCAAATTCATATTGCTCCAACTCTTCGGTGTTTTCCGAAAACGTTTCGAAAACAGATTCATTTGCCAGTACATTGTTCACTGTAAATTGATTTAAGTCATAGTCTAAACAAAAATTTGTGTTATATTCGGATGATTGATATAGCGGATCAGTTTGGAAATTTCCATATGTAGAATCGATATAATTTGAATAAGAATGTTCGTATACTTCTTGTTGCGGATAATAATGATAATCCATTGCATTCCATGGATTTTCTACCGAATTCCACATCTTTGATATTAATATTCGATCACTATATAAAATTTACTTTTTTTTTTACACTCGTCGAAAAAAAACTCGTGATAAATATAATCACTGTATTTAAAACTTTTTTAAAATTTCGATGTTCCACGTATCTTTTCCAAAGGAATAGTTACAATCGATCTTTATAACTTTATTTGATGCTTTTGTCTTTGAATAAAAATCTTTATCTTTATTTTATTCGTCCACAATTATATTTCACCTAAGAAATAAAAACTTTTTTAACGGCAAAGATTGTTTAAATAAGAATTTGCGTATTCAACGTCAAAAAAAAAAAAAAACAAAATAATTGTGTCAACTTTACTAATTGTATAAAAACTCTGCTCAATGCACTTCCTGAGGACGAACTAAACTCGAATATAAACGCGCCAAATATTTTAGGATTGTAATGTCCTGGACACGAGTAGAGAGGGAAATAAAATAGAGGGAAAACCCATTATTTTCAGGTAATAGTAATCAGCAACAGGTAAACAGGTAAGGGAGTCTTTATAATTCGGCTTTTCAAATTGTTTGAAAGAGAAAAAAGTTTCTATAAAATTTATTTAAAATTTCTAATTTTCTTTTAAAACAAAGAATTTTTTAAATTTTTTAAATTCTTAAAATTCTTTAAATTAAATTCTAGTTTAAAATTTTAGTTCAAAAAATCCTACAATGAAAAATTCATTTCATAAGTTTTTGAAAACCTATAAAAGGTAAATATACCTGAATATATTGTAAAGTAAAATTATAAGTTTTCGAACAATAAATAAGGAAAGTCATATACTTTTTCTCTAATAAATTGAAAGAACCGTTATAAATGACCGTTATAAATGAACCGTTATATACCTTTGGAAAATTTAAATAAATTATTGAAAATTTATAAAAAAATTTATTATAATTAATGAATATTATTCATTAATTAATTAATTTATATATATTAATGCTTTGAGAAAAAAATTGAAAATAATTTAGAACATGATAAATTTTGCTTGAAATAATTAGTGTTTATGTACTTTATTATATTATAATTTGATGAGAGAAAAGAGAGTATGAATAAATGAATGAGTGAGCGAGCATGTCTCTCTCTCTCTCTCTCTCTCTCTCTCTGTGTTTGCGCGCGCGCGTGAGAAGAGAGGGAGGAGGGGGGGGGAGAGAGAGAGAAAGAGAGAAAGAATAAAAAGTTTCTATATAAAATTTATATACACTTTGTTCACAATTGTAAAAAATCATTTTTTATAATTAACTTGTAATTTCATAAGAAAATTTATTTCCAGTTTCAACTAAACATTATCAAAATTATAATTCTTATTCTATATTGCATTGATAATTTTCATGATAAAAAAAATTGATTCTAATTTTCATATAAAAAAAAAATGCATATTACAAGTATTCTATAATTATAATTCATTTATGAACTTCACGAACTACAATATGGTTGGATGTCTAGAAACATCATAAATCATGAATGCCGGTAATAGCAGTCATAATAATTATCATAAGTCTAGATGCACGTGTGAAAGATATGATTTTATAATTATTGTAACATAACTTATATATATTAGATATTTTAAATTCAATCATGCCAGATTTATTTGAAGTAATTGTAGGAACGTATGAGCAATATTTGCTCGGTTACAAAGTAAATAATGTTGTCAATGTAAGTGAATATGTTTCTCTTTATTATTTAATTGTAGGTTATGTTCGATGTTTAAACACGATTTTAAAATGAATTACTTGATTTGACAGATGCATACTAATATTTTTTATAAATATATATAAAATTAATCGATAATTATTATCTGTCATGTATTATATGTTAGAAAAATCTCAATTTATTTGTAATGAATGTTTTATAAACCTAATGATCTAAATTAATTCTAATTATTCAATTGTTTATATATATATTTTTGTTTATATATATTTTTTATATTTTTTTTTTTACCTACATAAGATAATTATATTTTTTTTAAATAAATTGTTCTTAGTAAGATAAATATATTTTGTATATTCATGTGATTTTACATAAAAATTAATACAGCAAAGATATTAAATTATTATATTTTTTAATTAAAATGCAATATTTGATATAACTTTTATATTTTTTTAATTTCATATTATTAAAAAGTAAATAATTTTTCAGGAATATAAAATGGAAAAAACTTTTGCAACTCATAGTCATGCCAATAGTATACGTAGTGTTGCGAGTAATAAACATTATTTAGCTTCTGGTGGAGCAGATGATTCTGTTTATTTATACGATTTGCGTCATAGAATAGAATCAGGTAGATTAGTACATCATAATGGTAAGTATAATAATATATTTTATATAATTGACTTCTGCTTAATATGTATTAATTTTATGTAAATATTACTTATATGTTTATATAGATACCATTAATTGCATCGCATTTACACCTGAAGCATCTCATCTATTTTCATGTAGTAATGATGGAACTATAGCTGCAATCCGATGTGGAAATTGGCAATTGGAAAAACATTGGCAAAAACCACATAAGGGTTTAGCAGTTAATACTTTAGCTATTCATCCAACAGGAAAAATAGCATTGTCTACTGGAGCAGATGGTATTCTTCGTACTTGGAATCTAGTTAAAGGAAGACAAGCATATGCTATAAATTTAGTACCAAGATTGAAATTAGATGCAAAAAATGTAAATGTTCTTAAATGGAGTCCTAATGGTGAAAAATATTTAATGGCTGTGAACCAAAAAATAGATGTATACTCTGTGGAATTAGCTGGAATTGATACTGAAATTGAATTTGATTCAAAAATTGTTTGTGTAGAATTTTTACAAGATGATTTAATTGCTGTTGGCTTGGAAAATGGTCAAATTAAATTTTACGATCTTGAAAAATCCGTGCAAACCGTAGAAGCGATTGCACATGATATAAGAGTGAAATGTATGGCTTTCAAGGACGATTTATTAGTTACAGCTTGTAGTTCTGGAGAAATTAAACTATGGAAATATAGCAAACATAAATTAAATATGATAAAAAAGATTAATTGTGGTGCTCGAATTACCTGTTTGTCTCTTGCAATGTTATATGAGAATCTTGTGTTTGATAATAAATTATCAAAAGAGGAACAAAAAATACAGAAAAAAGAAAAATTTTCGTAAGTAATACTTTATTATTTTTCTTTTTATAATGATTATAATTATAATGATTCTGTTTTATTTACCATTTATTTTTTTAAAATAATATTTTTTTCATAGTTATTATTATTTCATAGTTTCATTGTGTCAATTATATTATTTTTTAAAACTATATTAATTGATTAAAGAAGAATTGAAATATTGCCAAAAAAATGTAATATTCTATTAAGATAAAATAAATAGCCATAAATTTTGATTATTTTAATATTTCACATCTTTATTGCATATATATACTCACGTGTATATATATTCTTATATTTAGGCTTCGGCAGGAAGTTGTCATCGAGGACGAAAATGATTTGGATGAAATAATTACAAATAATACTTCTCAATTATTGAAAAAAAAATTAAAAAAGAAAAGAAGTATAGAAGAAGTACAAAATCCAAATATTCCAAATAGAAAGAAGAACAAATCGATTGTAAAGAAGAAAAAGGCAGAAAATGATGTAACATTTGAGTTTACACCGAAAAAAAAAAGTAAATTGTCAAATAACAATGATGATTGCAATTACATTGATGATAAAAATAAAAAGAAAGAAACTTTTTCAAATAAGAAAAAAAAGAAACGCTTTATATCTTTAGAAGAAAATAATAATATACCTTCTAAAAAAACAAATTCTGAATTAAGTGAAAAAATTTTGAAACGGGATAATATAACATTCAATCAATCAAAAATAAAATTGATAAAATCAAAAGAAAATGATGAAGTTCCTGTGAAAAAAAGAAAAAAAGAAACAATTGTAAAAGATAATGGAACAATTCTAAAGAAAAGAAAAAAAAAACAATGAAATAATAAATTATTTCACGATGCTATTTCAATTTAAAGATATTATATTTGCATTCTGTATGACATTTACAGAAAGTAAATTTTACCATAGAAAATATTTAAAATACTAATTCATTAAGTTAAACATTATTTTTTATAAATCAGTCAATTTTTAACTTTTATTGTTCGCGTATTTTTATTATAAATATTATATAATACGCAAGACTAGTAGAAAATGTAACAACTTTTGAATAATGTTTGATTATATGCTCTGTATAGATTAATTACCACAGAATACATTTGCGAGATGGATTCATGGGACTTTCATTCGGACAGTTCCATGCTTTTGCGAATTCCGCATTGTTCGATAAAGTTCCTATAACTCTGAAGTGATTTGGCGCATGAACTCCTTGTATCAATTTAGATTTTAATGCCCCATTTGTGTAATTCCCACACCAAATCTATGAAACAAATACATATCTATGAATATTTCTCATTGTATAAATTCATACATATAACGTATTATATATGTACTATGTCATAAATATATGTATTTATGAAAAATATCAAATTCAATCATTCTAGAAAATTATGTATATGAAAATATTAAATTCACGAATAATTCTTTTAATAAATGACAGAATATTTAAAAAAAAAGATTGTTATTATTTATAAATATATTTACTTGTGCAAAACCTATGAAAAATAATTGTTCTTGATTATAATTGGCAAGACCGGGTAAAACTAGTTGATCAGTATTTCTTTTTTGAAATCGTTGATATGCTCTGTAAGCTTCTCGTATACCACCGTTATCTGCTATATTTTCTCCTTGTGTATTAATACCATTTATCTAAAGAACATTAAATATTTCATCGAATAAAAAATATATGCATAAGAAAAAGTAAATGTATTATTCATTTTGATATAAATATATTTGGTATATATTTATTTCTCTTTATTTCTCAGAAGGACAGTGATACTCACCGTGAAATTATGACCCAACTCTGGCAAATGATAGTTACTGTATTGCTTGATTATACATTGGACTTTTT